CCCCCCCCCAGTGTCCCCGTGCAGAGGAGGCTCCCCCCCTCCCCCTCCACCCCTGTGGAGAGGCTCAGTCCGGCAGGATGTCCGGGTCACTGAGAGGCAGAGTTTAGCCGGTGGGACGTGCGTCTCCTCCTGCAGGAGTGGGAGGCCGCTGTGCTGTAGTGATCCGAGCCCCAGGACTCCTGGGTTCTATCCTGACTCTGCCACCGGCTGCCACGTGACCTTGGGGCCGGGTCCCTCCTCCTGATCGCGGTGTCCCTTTGGGAAGTGCTGGGCGAGGCTTGGCTGGAAGGACCTGATGCACAGGCTCCGTACTGCCCCCTGGGGGCAGCCCCCGGGATGGCCTCCGAGGGGCTTGCCCCCCAGCAAGGAGTATGAGAATTAGAATGAGGCCTATGGGGCTGAAATGAGGGACCAGCCCCTGCAGCCCCCGAGCCCAGCCAGGCCCCTCCCCTGCTAGAGCCGGCCTGGTACCAGGCCCCAGACAGAGCCCCCGCTGTGCGCGCTGCTCCGGCCGTTCCAGCCGCTGTCTGAGCACGGAGCCCTCGGAGCTGCCTGGCTCCTGGCCGGGTGGGACCCCGTGACTGTGGTGCTGCCTGTCCCCTCTCCTGTTCCCAGAGCCTGTTCCTGGGCGTGCGGCTGCTGCTGCTGCTCACCATGGCCACCGGCCTCTGCATCGCCTTCTACTCCTTCCTCTACGGCTGCTGGGCCCTGTGCTGCAGGAAGTTGGTAAGGGGGAGCGGGATCATCTCTAGGGCAGGCTGGCTGGGCCCCGGCGCAGCCCCGGCTGATCACCCAGCTGCGGGGGCGGGGGCCTGGGCCAGGGGCTTCCTTCTGCCTCCCCACGGCTGGCATGAGGGTTGGTGGGTCAGTTATGGGGAGACGCACCCTAGTGCTCTATGGGGTGGCAGGGGAGGAGACGTCCCAGCAGGGCTCCCGGGTAGCTGAGATGACCCCTCCCTGGGCTGCTGTGGAGATCCAGGAGACTTCTCCCCACCTCCCTCCCCGGAGTCCCCACAGCATGGGGCACGAGTCGGGGAGCAGTGGGCCCATCGCCCCGTCAGTGCCACCTACTGAAAGCTGCGGTGTAACCTGATGTGCCGGGCTCAGTACAAAATGGGTGGAGCGGAAGGAACCATCTGATTGGCTGGCAGAGCTGAGGGAGCTGTTTGATTGGCTGGCAGCACCTACCCCCCATGAGGTTGTGGGGTAGCCCCATCCCATTAGCATCACAGGGCTACTTGTGATAACGGAAGGGGGCAGGCAGTCCTGGGGAGCCCTTTCTGCTCCTCCCCCCGCCCTGCGTGTCTGCCCAGCCCCTGGGGCGCACTCTCTGAGCCCCCGAGCTCGGAGACCCTCAGTGTCCCGGGGAGCTTGGGAGCGGCAGAGCGAGAAGGGATCAGGACCAATCTGCTCACTGGCTTCTCCTCAGCAGAGGGGCCCAGGCCACGGCAGGACTCTCCCCTCTGCCTGTGGGGGCCTGCGCCAGCCCCGTGGGGTGCGGGGGGGCAGACGCTTGCCCAGGCTGTGCGCGCTGTGACAGTGCAGCGCTATGCTGGCCGCGCCATTCGGCACTGGAGCCCTGAGCCCCTCTGAAGCCTTAAACCTCTGCCCTGCTTTCAGGCCGGGGCCGAGGCGGTGGAGAGCAAGGAGCCGCTACTGGCCTCTGACTCCATCCTCCCGCCGGATGAGGAGAAAGCCCAGGAGGGCCGGAATATCTGAGCTCCCGGCCAGGCTCCAGCTTCGCTCTGCCGGGTAACCGCTCTGCACAGCCCGCATCCCTCCCGCCTCCCTGTCCTGGCTCTCGAGCTGGGGCTTCCCGCTGTTCCCCCTCCTGTACTAGCTGTGTACTACTACACTAACTGTAGCCATGTACTAGGGCGAGGGCCTTCCCAGGCCCTGCTCCGAACAGGGCAGCAGCTGCTTGGCAATAAACCGTCTCCTGTGAGTGTCTGTCTTCACTGGTCCCGCTGGATCTCTGGCACTTGCAGGGAGTGAGCTGTGTGTGAACGGGAGCCCAGGACCCTGCACACAGGCTGCGCCACGCCTCCTGCGTTCACAGCGGGGGAGGAAACGAATGGCAAAAAGGTCACGTGGTGCGACTGATGGCGCTGCAAAGAGAGGAATAGAACCCAGGAGTCCTGGCTCCCGGTTCCCCCCCACCCCCTGCTCTAACCACTA